ACCACTTGATTTGCAGTAAGTGTGTGAGAGTCAAGATCCACTTTTTGAGAGAAGACACCTCCTCCCAAAACACTCGAGCAGGTCGTTCGAATTGAATTCATGCCTTCTTCCTATACACTATATGCTAAACTGCCCCTTCTTATGCCTCTGAGATACATATATTTAACCCAATTTTATGCCTCCCTTACCTGGTGGGAGCCTCGGAGCGCTAAAGCAGCAGTGAGCTTCAAATACATTAACAGTGAGTCGTGTCGCAAACAGAGACATTGGAGGCTATCTGCCAAACCTCGTTGAGCCCAACTCGGACCGACCAATGGCTTGAGCGATAAAATGTCTCCCTGAGACACCAAATGAACCCCAACTAGCGTTAGTTCCCGCACTTCCCCCAGTAGCCAGCACGTTTCCCGGGAAATATGCCCTTGATCGAGTCGAGTCTACCAGAATTGCTGCTTTTATTTTGGAATGCAAGACACTATCACGGATCTTTGCCCTGATTGGAAACCAGGTAAGTCAACGCACCATCGCTCTCATACAGCCACCGCAGCACCCTTACAACAACCGATACTCTGCTTCCTCTTTGACTGTGAATTCTGACTACGGTCAATTCGGTGAGCATGCTACCTCCGCCGGGGAGACCAGCCATTGAGCCGTACTAGTAGGCCTGAATTCTTCGCCACAGTCGACTAACGCTAGCCGTTGACATGGAAAATAAACCAATTCAGGCGAAAAGAAGAAATATATATTCAGCTAGACGTCACCTATATCGTCAAAGATGCTGGAGAATTCATCATCGCTGTCAAGGAGAGAGATCTTTGGTGTTCCAGTGCCAGGCTGTTGACGATCAGCCTCGACGGGCGTAGATACCTCGATGAAAGTTAGACAGTCAACCCACCGCGTTTAAATATCCATTTAGAAAAAAAAATACAAGCCATTTCAATGCTCTTTCAGCTTTGGTGAGGCCTCAGTTCAAATCAAGCTCTTGATTCCAGACATAAATCAGCTGTTGCTGTGGTTGATATCATGCAATACCTAGGACCCGGTGCATTCTGACCTAAGTCCCAATATCAGGCACGCATACCACAGGTTAGTGAGACTTAGATGCTGAGGTGAGGTTGCAACAGAAATAAAGTATTGGTTTTTTAAGTTAATTAGACCATAGTAGTTATTTTGAAAAGGTCAAACAAAACTTCAACCTGAAAAATGGCCAGTTTAGGCGAAATGTTTAAAACAGCAGATCTTACGGTAGGCACAAGAGGGTCCTTTCTCGCAAGTACCTTCCGAGGCGATATTTCTATGCCTTCAGCAGTCTTGGAGGAGATTTGAGCCTTCTACGTTCACAAGGTTGTTAACGCAAATCATATATTTACAAACGATTGATAGCACTAGGCCTTATTCTCCACCTGTGCGTACAGTTACACAGTTGTGATAATCAGTACAGGAGTAAAATAACGGCAACTTTCATGGTCAATCAGTGGAAAATAAAATTCCTCCTATCGGATAAGTCAAAAGGTTTCATCAGAGGAAATAAGTTAGCAAAAACAATTCCGAGAATTTTGAATCACATGTTCTTTACTTTGCAAAGACTAAAAAACCATTTAAAGAATCGCTTCAACGATCAGATAAGTTGATCTGGAGGAAAACCCAATAATAGTGCTACACTTCTATCGGAGGCTGGCAGCAGTCCACAAATGACTAAAGGAAAAAGGGATTGAAACCAAACTTACGGTAAGGGATAATGCGCTTTCAAGAAAAGCCCTCTTCAAAGGTGATACTGCCGCACGTGAGACATTTGAGGTTGAAGGAGTATTATCCTAAAAACATGGTAGAAACTATACGTTTAAAACAACAAATTGTACAAGCAACATTATCACCAAAATTGACCAAACCAAAGAAGAATGAAGCAAACTGCTCGCTAAAGTTTGCGACTTCGAAAGTCAGTAATGGCATAAAAATTTAGTCTTTGTAAGAGGTAAAGTAAGTCTTACAGCGGAAATCAATGAATTCTTTACTAAGGTCGCAGGCGGTGACGCGACAGCAGAAGCTGTAGTGACCATTTCCTATGTACAAGACAATAACGCAGAACACTCAGCCACTACGGAGCAATAAAAGTGCGGAAAGGCAGGATTTATTTAAAACTCAAATCGAACAACCAAGTAAACTTATAAATGTAGGGAAATATAGCATAATATTTATCCGCCCATGGGACAGGCTTGGTCGTTTCACTCATACAACACTTTACTCCTAAAAGCCAAAAAGCTTAGCAAAGCCACTCTTATTTCCATCTCGCGTTTACAGCTCAACATCAGTTTTTTGGTGAGATTCATCTACCTGCTAGTAATGACAACAGCGTGGAATGTGAAATCCTACGATGTCTCACAGGGATGCCACTTTCTCAAGGTTTATTCAATGTTCCTTGCGACCTTCAAGGTATATCCTACCGAATGGACAAATCTCAACGAACGTCAGTAAACATTTGCTCCCACTGCCAAACATGTTTGGAGACAACCTAATACAAGAGTTGGAAATATGGGAGAGGAAGTTAAAGGAGTAACGGGTAATGACCACAAAAGGATTTGCCATTGCAACGTAAAAGTGTTACCGTTCGCATCCATATCACCTTCACAGCACCTATCTCTGGATCGCTCACCATGTTACTCAACTAAGGCGGCATCGTACATGGAACCGGAACCTTGAGATAGATAAGACAGAATTTCGCGAATAAGCTTGCATCAAAATTGTTAACCACATATTTTTTTGCAAAATACGTCATCCCTACTCAATTCAAGATAGCTAATCAAATAAAACATCAAAACACAGCAACAGTAGCCATATCAGGAAGTTCAAGGATTTTTAGGGAGCTCAGACATTCCCTGATAGTCAGTAGAAATAAAAGCAAAGCAAGCGTACCGTAGGAGAGAAGTAGGTCTTCAGTGGTGACATCATTGAGGAATTGTCCTAAGAAACAAATAAGGAAGTGGAGAGCTCAGTCATGACGAACTGTAAAAGAGTAACAACAAAGAAAACAATCAACAGGAAATAGAATTGTCAGAGAACCACCTAATACTACGTCATTACAAAAGCCAGTCAAAAAATACACACATGAGATTTCTTTGCAGTTCTTGACCTTCGCGCCCTCCGCTTCAATAACTGTAGTTTTGTGCCTTCGTCCTCTTCACCAGAGGCAACATCGAATGTAGCCGATTTTTCATCCAAAAACTTCCTCTAAAACCATTTTATAGAAAACGCTTTAAAAAATTGCTAAAACAAGCTTTACCAGTAGAGGATTGCGGCGAGTGAAGAGGATAACATCGTCTCGATTGATCGTAGACCGTTTAGCATGGCGAGCGAAAGCCTCCAAATCGGTAGCGAGCAATTGCGCGAAACGAAATGCATTCTCTGTGACTAAGGAAGCGATTTCATCGGAAATTAGGACTCCCGATTGATCGCTTACAAATTTAGCACGGGTAATGCATTCACAGTGTAGGGCCGATAATTGCTCCAGCTGCATTAAAAGTAGCAAAACACTGATCCAAAGTTCTAATAACATTCAGACCGCATTCCAATCCACCTACCTTAGGTTCAGAGCTCGACTCCGAAGCAGGCATAGCTTCAGTAAAACAGTGTAACGAGTTTAAACTTCAGCCACCATCAAAGACAGCAAAATGACCTTGTCTTTTTATTAATGAAGTTCTTCAGTAACACCTAAACGAATGAGAAATTTCAATTAATTTTATGAAATTTGCAACATTTTAAACTTTTCTTCGTGCAAAGACCAGTTGTTGAACAGCATATAAAATCCCTTGCAAAATTTAAGGCGTGCAATGCACTGCATTCATTTCAACCTATACATTGCTTGTTGATAGCTTTTAGTCTTAAATAACAAATGAGTGTATTTTCAAGCATAAACCAATTAAAGGAGACCGGACTCTTTAATCGAGTGTGTTAGTTTCGCATTTCTCTGTCTGAAGCGTTGAAACCTTGTTCGAATGTGCAATGCAGTGGAGCGAACTGAGGCGTCAAGCCAAGTCCCTCGAAAGTGAAATAGATTTAAAGCTCACCGAGTTTGGCAAAGTTGGTAGCTCCTCTTTCATTGGTGGCACTGGTTCCCGAACCCCACATATAACCCAATCTTCCAATATCCAAAGCTATGGTGATCTCTGCAACGATATTGAAAATCTGTTAGAGAGGTGCGTTTTGATTTTAGTCTGCTCGTCATGTCGCATTTGGTCTTTTGCTATTTGCTGAAAGAATTTTGAACTTGTCTGATGAGCTGCTAGTTTTTTTGTCCCTGAATCTTCATTTTGCTCTTTTCTTTTTGTCATTATTTAATGCACTTTTTTGATGGATATCACTGGAAATTTCTGAGGCGATCCTTTTCTACTAGTGTTGCCTTTTGCATTTTTAAATCTCTTCTGTCTTGTTTTGCGGGTTTTTCGTTGCTCCAGAAATTACTTATTGATACTTATTGATATTGATTTGTTGCTATCTCATCATCACATCCCAATCATGTTTCAGGCTACACTCCTGCCCAACATTTAATCATATGTCCCATTTTTTGTAAATGTAAAGCTATCCATCCTCAGGTTAACGCAGGTCAACGATAAGATGGGTGACATTGTGTCCAGCGCAGACCATGGTAATGTCAGTCAACAGCACGTCGCAAAGCGTCATCGCGAAATCCTCTTCGACTATTCACAGGATTTTAAGCGCATGCGGACTAACTTTAACAACGCTCGCAACCGGGACTATCTTCTATCATCGGTATGTCATGTTTTTTTCCCAAATGGCTACCCTTACTTATGAAAAATAAGCAGATTGTGTTTTTTAGACATACCGACTTCAGAGCACACATCATGGTGATAAACCACCTGAGGCCACAAGGCTTTTGATTGAAGAACAGCGGAGTTTGCTCCATACGGATAAGATGTTGACTGATAGACTTTCAGCAGCCTCAGCAATCCGTTCAGCGTTAAAATCACAACACCACAAACTCAAAGCCACTACGGGTAACCTATTGAATCTAAGAGCTCAATTTCCTCTCGTGAATAAGGTCCTCAATCAGGTGTCGTGGCGCAAGAAACGAGATTCGATTATCATCGGGTCAGTGATTGGTTGTTGCCTTCTCTTTCTACTCTTCTATCTTTTCCATTAAAGGCCGTGTTTTCGAGCTTCTCCTCCTTTCTCTCCATCATCTCCCCGTTCAAGGACGCCGCTCTTTAATTTGATCTTTTGGTAAATGATTATTTTAAAAGAATTGGAGAGCATCGCGTCTTTTCAGTAGTTGGCCCACTATCTAACCAAAGGTTGAAGTTTTGGGAAAAACAGCTTGCGGTTACACCCCCCTTCCGTTCTATTAAACTACGTTTCGGTGTTTTGTACTTGCCATGCTTTCGGCGGAATTATCAGAGGTATTTTAGAAATAGATGAAAACAAATTTTCTGCAACTTTGTAGTCTTAATATTTCTGTTGGTTTGCTGAGATGTCTTTAACTATTCAGAAATGATGTTTGGCATTTTAGCAAACTATAGCGGCTGAGCCTTTTTTTAAAATCGTGGAAAGTTATGTGAGTTTAATAAAAACATTCCAAGGGGACTACTCAATCGCTCGGGTCCACGGTTTCAGTGGTTTTGAGCACTATTCTGGTGTCAGAGCCCTTGCCTATAAATAGTTGACCTTCCATATTGTGATGTGCTCTGTTACGGTCCTTGCTGTTATAAGAAGTCAGGAACCAATTTGATACTCAGAACCTCCATAGACAACTGGTCTGTATGGATAAGCGCACAGCTTAAACGTAGCATCCTCCACTTCCCTGGAATAGTGTGTCTTCTGCACTGGTACTTTAAAGACTAGACCTGGGCCTTAGTCGAAGCTTTTGCGTCATCGTCATTGGTGACGATCTCGATAGCCTCTCATCCCCCAAGGTAGTTTGATACTTCCAGTCGAGAAACAAGACGGCGACGTGTTCTCTGCACAAATATTGTGGGAGACCCAGTACTAGGCACTTTCAATCCTCTCACTTTTGGTGTTCTCATCCTTATTGATTGTCCTATCGAGGTATGCAGTTGGAACGAATTTTAAATGCTTCCCTTATGGTGGTCAGCTGGTTTGGTCACTCATAGTGGAAGCTCACCACCTTGTCATCGTAATGACCATTCGACAAAGTCAATGTTTTCCCCATTACTTCTGCCATCCTGGCCTGCAAGTTTCCAGGATGGATGTATGAGTCAGGGCGTAACTTCATAACACCAATGCAGATTACTTTAAAGAAAGTAATGTGATGTTAGCCTCTGGGGGGTAGACACGAAGGTTAGGTTGGGTAACTAACGCCTAGTCAAAGAAATAAGTCTTAACTTGGGGTTAGTTATTGTTAGGCGACTTTTCTTTTCTAAGTCACCGCTGTCGATGTGTGAAGAGGTAGATATGACTTTGATAAAGTAGGCTTGCATGGCCTATTCTGCCAAGGTTGTTGGGGTGTTTCGGAGAAAAAATATACTTAGTCAAACTTTGGAGAAAACCTTTTAAGAGCTTATCAGAGTAACTCCATAATTTCTCTCTAAGTTCTCTTGGTCAAGGACTCCAACTCTGACTTTTCAGTTTTCCTTAAGCACTAGTTATTATCACTTTGTGGGGAGTGTTTGCCAGAACTTTAACCAATCTACTGCCTCACTCATACGTTGATATCAAGGGAAGAAAAGTCTTTTTCGACTTGTTTCTTGTAGTTTTTTAAGTAGAAAATTATAGGCATTTGTAACAGGGTCGTATGACAATCCAGCAATTGGCACACTAGTTCTCTCTTCTTGTAGTCATTTCCCGTGTTTCGTGTGGTTGTAGCGCCTTGCTAATTTAAAGTAGTGTGGCAGTGCATAGTTTTTGTTATTCTGGCGGAGCTGTGTACGACGAACGAGCGAAGCATGCCGATAGTCGAGCCGTCTAGTCTCTCCGATTGGCATGCCTTAAGGTTGGGTTCGAGAAAGTCCTAGTTTTTCGCAATTGCGAGGTCCAGCCTTTATGCTCGCCCATACGAATTCACAGTGTCACCACTTAAAGGACTGTAGAGAAAACTTATCTACTTTTCGATATTATTGTCTGTCTAAAAATGTCTCACAAATTATCCACACAATTACAAACTGCATGTTTTCTGCCAAGTCTGATAAAACTGTAAAAATTTAAAGTTTATCTTCTCGTTTAAGGATGTCAAACTATTCAAAGTGCTTTATTTTCTGAGGTCTTGAGGGATGACATTCTGTTGCACTGGTTTTGTTGTCACTTTATCCCCCGTCCCTAATTGCAAGTGTTCTGCTGCAACTTAAAGGAGGAAACTTACACTGTTGTCAAACATCCATCACTGAGGTTGAGTGGACGCGACAAAATTAAGTTGCACCAGAGTAAGGTTGATCGCCATCGCTTGCTCCTTCTTTGGCTCGCCACAGTCACGTGGCGACATTTGTGTGTTGTAAGTGACCCGCCTGTCAAAATGTTGGGTAAACTTCACTCTATCTCGATTCAAAACCTGGTATTTGTGGCACCCACTATCGCTGACGAGGGATAAACCACCGCCTCCTCAATTCCACATCGAGTGGCATTGCTCTTTTAATATTACGACACCCTTTCCTTTTCTTCGTAATTTAGTAATGAAAAAATAACTTGAATGTTTGCCATACAACTTCCCCACCCTCTTGTCGCTCATGTGGGGATTCGGAAGTTGACTAAGGAGAATGGAGAATAGATTTTAGAATTTCGGACAAATTAGCTACCTGGTTAATGCTATCTTCCACAAAATATAGGTTGTGACACGTAAGGACGCTATTGTGTGGGCCTGAATCATGTGGAAACAGACTTCACTGCATTATATCGTCCAGATCAAGGCTTCAAAAGGTTTGAATGCAAAAAAGTCTGGTCTACAACGAGGTACTTCTAGTCTCAAAGCAGAACTAGTCATTGCAGCCGATGGGTCGGGAGTCATATATAATGCTCAACACATCCATCGCATGCTGCTGCTAGACACCATTTCGGCGTTACTACAACTTCGATAATACTTCAACATTCGTTTCATTCATTCACTTGCTCCCCGGCTGACCTCCACACACCTCAAGTCGGTCGTAAACCGACGCATAAGCACATCAGAAGTGTGCAATCAACACTACTACAGTCTTTCATTTTGCTAACCTGTTCAGCAGTCTAGGCTTCATTAAGCCTAATTGGGACTGAACAGGAAGAGCGATATCAACTTTGAAATATTTACTCACAAATGCGCTAGGTTGGGCACCTTACCCTCATATTGAATGTGCGTACCAACGGATGCAAACTACAGTAACGGACACAGAAGAGCACAGAACTGCTCCCCTTCTTGGTGCTCCACTTACATTGTCAAAGTTAGGGGCGGGTAACTACGATGACAATAACATCTCTGGAGTACTCAACATTGCACTAGAAAATCAGAAACTACGTGAAACCCATCTCTTATCTCGCTCACTCTTGCGTCCATAGAGAAGGTGTTCAATTATCGTATGATTATTTAATTATCAGGATTGCATAAGAAAAAGGTACATTTCTTGTCATTAATGATGGGCAAAAAACAAGAGATATACAGACTAAAAAAACAATCACATAAGGAAATGAGGACGCCATTTCTCAAGCCACATAAATCCGAGCATGGCGAACATGCCAAAAGGGCTGACGACCTACTAGGTGGAATGTGTCGAGTCTGAGGTCAGTGGGATGCCGGCCAATTCGGCCAACCATTCGGCCAATCCCTGGGATCCTCGACCGCGATAAATGAAAAATAAAGTCATGGCGACAACGTATAATCGCACCACCCAATGACACCAAAGGACAGTTACACTAAAGACTAAAAAGATGAGCCAATAGGCAAACACAACGCAGGCTCCGGGTGACCATTGCTCGTCTCGACCGGAAATGACTGCGCCCTCACGACTGATCTCGGGACCGGGGAAACGACGTTCGTCTGGAGGAAGAGCTAGAGGAGGGGAAGGGTAAGGGAGGAGGTCATTAATTAAATTCCACCACGCCAAACGGATTTTGCAACACTAACTTCTTAGAGCAACTTAACATCCCAAGTAGCCACTTTTCTGGCTGGCAAAGGAAGGAAACCGATTCGAAATCCATTCCACTTTGACCAATTAGAGGTAAGCAAATTTCAATTCAAACAACTGTAATCAGGACAAAACTCAGCCTACCATAATAGTTCTTCAACATCTGCTCTTTCTCTGCCCACCGATCCTGCATCCAACGCGCCAGCGGACTAGTGGTGATGGTGTTGGCACCGTCGGTAACTAAGGCAGCATCGGTTGGTCGAGGCAGTTGGTGGGCTGGCCAACGGCGCACGTGGAAATGCACCTCTTGAGGGCAGTGGCCTGTAGCCATTCGGAGCTCCGACTCAGTCAAAGCATAAGGATAGGCCACTGTTACGTCGTACACGTAGGCCAAGTCTACAATAGCCAAGTCACAGTAAATTGTTTCAGGTTGAAAAGAGTGGATTTATGGAGTTAAAGCGCGGTGGCTTTTCTTCAAAAAGGAGCTCAACCTTTCCTATAGTAATCCTGTTTGGAAAAATAAAACGATTATAAACAAAAAATGCGTTTAATAGTTACTTTAATAAATATTTGCATTCATAACAACTTGAAATGCTTCGGAGTAGGGTTTAGTAGATTATGTACACTCAGAAAGATACGGACTTGTTGGAAGCCAAAATGTTTCTGCATAGACTTAATCGTCTATGAGCACAATAAAACCTTTCTTCAAATAATGGAATGGCTATCTTGCGATAACGATGGGCATGAAACTGCTACGGTGTAAATTGCGAACGGAACAAGAACTCGCTACGAGGACCGATCTCCTTCTTTCAGCGCTTGTGCTCAATAAGAGGAATGCAAATACCAACAGATGCGGAGCGTTACGAACATCAAATTGCAAACAGAGGGGAAGGGCCACTGATATGCATTGTTCATCTAGAAGAATACTGGAATAGCCGAGCCTCTATACGTCATCCTGATTCTTGGCGGCTTCACAGTCAGTGATATTCTGCCACAATCAAGGGAGAATGCACAAATTCAAATAAGAAAATGGTTGATTCAAAGACTGATTTGATACATTTCGGAATGGGAGCGCTTAGGTAAGAGTGAAAAACTCAACTATTGACGACTTTACTGAGGATTGTTAACTTTAATGGACTCAGCAGCATGTTCTGTGAGAAACAGAAAAGGGATATAAAGAAAGTACCGGATCCGAGGGCTCGGACGAAGGTTTCAAAGCCCGTAGTATGAGGGTGAAGAGTGTAGCGGTATCGAGGGAGACCTGCTTTAGCCGCAAATACATCGCTCTTTTTCAATCCATAAACACTAAGATCAGTGCCCTCGGGAAAAAGAAGAATCTGTAGAAAAAAAAGAAGAACTAACTCAAGAGGTAATTAATGCAAATGAACTTTAGTGCAATTTGCTCACATGAGCGCAACCCTGAAGACGCAGAAGGTACTCCACAGCCTGTTGAATGCGCGCCAAATCAACAGCAATACGACGACGGAGGAAGATAAATCCATCCATTTGCATGGCCCATCCCACTCCTGGGAGATTGGAAAGTTCGCGTTTCAGCACAACCTTGAGGTGACGTGCGTACCGTCCAAGGGAGAAGGCGAAGATCCAATCAAGGCGAGTGCGATGGTTGAGAATAAGCAAACTAGACGTTCCCGTCGACGGTGACTCTTTTGTCTCCGTGATGACGGGGGACGGCAGAACAAAAGCATCACCATAGAGGCGGATTTGAATTCGAAGAATGCCACTGAGAAGAACCTGAGAAGGTTTAAATGAAAGGCTAGTCGGCTCGATGCTACTGACAAACTGATAGTCGACATAGAATTCAAAATGATGGTTTTATTAGCTGGAAATAATTCCGAGGATAGCAGAACTTAGAGCCATATTTGATGAAACTTTCCGCGTCAGTAACTCTTGATGTGATTCAGTCGCATAGTCAATGAGAAAAGCAAAGCTACCACTACGTAATGCTAGATATTCAATGCAAACACGAGTCGCCTTATTTGTTAATCGTCAGAAGTGTCAGACACCAATCGG